TGACCTCCTTCGTTTCCCTCAACACTCACTTTTTTCTTTGGATCGCTAAGATAACATGAGGTTGATACAGGTGTTTATTAAGCTGACTTTTCGACGTCTTCATCCTCATCAGAGCCGATGATCGGAGTCGATGGTCCACGATCGTTCGTATTCTCGATATGGGTATCTTCGTCGTCGTATTAAGTTGGATCTTCTTCAGTGGAGCACCACTCGAATGTGGAACCTCACCCAGCAGCGCTGTTTTACACCTGACGGTCGTTGTGGATAACGACTATCCGTTGATAATAATTTGTTTTTAACGCATAATCCATCCTGAAGCAGTCGGTATTATTTTCACTTCGTGTTCCACTCAGTTTCTTCTTCTCACTGCACGTTATCTAGTATTTCTTCTGGTTCATCTGACCTGTAGACCTCATCTGTGCTGTTTTCTTATCAGACAACGTAGACTTTTAAGAACTCAAAAGATCGACTTTATATAAACGTCGGCGTAATAATCGATATACCTGTATATATGTGCTTACGAACTTCCCTTTTTTAGCCTACGCGGTGTTGCTATAGATGTTTTTATTGTTGTTGTTACCTTTGTTCAATGGCTGACCTTTCGACGACTTCACCTTCCTCAGAGCCTCGCCAGGACCACCCGTGTGTTGTTCACGAGGGATAAATGTAGACGTTTCTTCATTTCTTGTCTTTCTTGTTCATTCTTGTCTTCAGTGAACTGTATCAAAGCGAAGACATTGTACGAGCGAATAAGGTAATGCTTAGAGAAGCTCAATTGTTCATGGGATACTTCCTAATCCTTCATTTTGCTCACATCTATCCACAGAGTTTATAGGCTTCGTGTGCTGATTACTTTTAACATATTATTCATAATCTAAAACATTCGGTCTACTCTATCCTCTCAAAAGTTACAGTGTTGGGTTCGAATGGTGTTCATGTGTTTGCTGACAAGCTCAGTTCCTTCTCCTATCCGTATTGTAAACTATACGAACCATCAGCTATTCATCTAGGATTTCCACTGAAGCATTTCTAAACAATGGCGTCTAATGTTAACTTTTTATTTGCTGCTTAGAACATTTTTTCACGGCGGGGAGAGATGTGAGATAGAACCACAATGATGCTGAGATATTTGCAAAACTCTGGACCGAGGGTGTCTGCGATGGGAAACGAACGCGCTAACACTCTTTACAGCGGGTAACGCGTTCACCACCACGCTATGCGGGTCCTTCATTTCCCTTGTCTTCTAGCTAGTTTTCTATCTACCGATGCCATCAGCAATCATCCGTCAACGGGATTGATCAGGGGAGCCCAAATCGGCATTGAACCCAGTTAAGCTGAGAGTGCAGTCGAAATCACAGTGTTACTCCAGCCAGGACCTTCCATCAGCAGTAGCTCTAGAATTTCCACTAAAGTGTTCCTGAACAGTAGTGTCCAAATAGTTGTTGTCACTTGAGATGTAGATCATTCGACTGTCTATATTTTATATAAGGTACTATGCAATGTTAGTATGGAATTTTTCTACAGGTTAATGGAGAATTAAACAGTGATTTAGTAAGTTTTAATGTTCCAACATGGTATAACCCTGTGAGTCTCGTACATTTTACTCTTTTCATTAGAAGCGATAATAACTGATGTGTGTATTTCATGGTTTTATTTCGGAGCGTTATATTTATCCCACATTTAAGTGCCTGGTTTCAAGTAATACCTCTGTTATACACTTTATACTGAAAACACTTTTCAATGGACAATCTTTGCTTTTCAGTCAAGTGTTTGCTTTCATGCTATCTCACTAATAAGTTGTCACTACATTACGGCTGCAGGTGGTGTAGAGGTGTCAAGTAGTACGAAAGTTTATTACTCAACTCGGTCACTGAAACTCTGAAGAAGTTCGGCGTTTCCATTCGAAAACTATGCTGATAGTAAAGCACAGCTACGAATCGTCCCTCATTCGATGAGACATAGGCGAACGATGGCAGTATTCCATTGATCCACGGAGGTCAACAAATGTCCATGGTGACGCCCTGGAAACATCGTGTACACATTTCCCAGGGCTCCCGATAAAAACCTTATCTCGATAAGCCAACAACACTCTGATGGGCGTTTTTTCTGTGCGCAGCGCCATTTCTCATGAAGAAGGGCCATGAAAGCAATGAAGAAGGACCAGTTGAACATATAGCGCAACAATATTTCAAAAATCGTCTTTGCTTTAACCTCGGTGCGACTAATCAACATGTATTCTATCATTGATAAACTAACACGAGGTTGACAAGAAACTTTATTCGGCTAACTCTTTGGTGCCTTCGCGTTCCTCAGGGCCGGATTGATCCTAGTCGATTATCAACAGTTCTTCCTTCTTCGCCTTCTTCCGATGTGAGTCTTTGTAATCACATCGAATCGAGTTTCTTATCGGCATCGTGTTAGCTTATCAATATTCCGCTGGATTCGACTCGATGCGATCAACAAGATCTACATCGGAGGAGAGAAGAATTGTGGAAAATTGACTCTGATCAGTCCGGCTCTGGGGAACGCGAAGGCGCCGAAACGTTAGCCGAGCAAAGTTTCTTGTCAATCTCATGTTAACTGGTCAATGAAAGAATGTATGTAATTGCCAAACGGGTTTCGTAGAATAACGCCTTTACTGTCTCTGCTCTATACCATTACGACCATCGCCTAGGCAATGCAATGGCGGCTGGGTGACTCGCTGTGAATGTCGCACTCGATGTTGCCCTATGATCTTCTCATAACATCATTTCCGAATCGCATTTGATAAGTTAAAAGACTTTATACATTTGTTTCTTCTCTTTCCTTATTACACCGAGTGCATGCATTATAGTAGGCTTTGGGTATGAACATTTCAGTGAATTTCTAGTTCCCTCTTCCAGTAGCGGCAATAAAACCATTTTTAACACTTTTAACATAAAAGGGCTAAATTTACCTGTCTGTCCGCTGCTTGGTGCCGCACCCAATTCCATGTCGTAGCGGAGTTGCTGGTTTTTCGGAAACAGACGGTGTTTCTCCGAAAACCAGAAACTTAAGAGGTTGGGCGCATTATACGTTTGTATAAGGACTTTGCTATATTGCTCTAGGGCTGGCTATACGTGGTATGCACGCATGTGTTTTCTCTGTGTTGTCGTGGTCTATCGTTATAAAAAAAACTGATGCTACCATTCGAAAGTGTTTTGGAGTCTGTGTTATGTCTATTTTGGGACTTTTTGCACCCATTCATTCATTAAACTGACTGTGATCCATCGTCGGGATTTTGAATGAGAGGGCAGTACATTACAGTCAAATTGTCGGTCAAACTCTTTCGAAGGGTGGTTTTTCTACCGTATATACTACCTAAGTTCCTACCTATACTACCTACCTAAGTTCAGGATAGAACTTTTCGCTGTCAATGATTGCCACGAGATCCAAGTTTGTCAAGCGATCGAATGGTTACAAAAAATCCAGAGGAAAAATCTTTTTTTCCAATATACACCGCCGCAAAGAAAATAACCTCTAGAGAGGTCATACCGTCTGCAACGCCATCTCATCTAAGACTCCTATAGAGGTCATGCTGCCATGTAAGTGCTTGACCAAATCTTGATCGAAAACTTTGCTCTCATAAGTGATCAATAATATTTTCTCTTATTCATGAGCTTACACGAATTTGTTATATAAGTTCTATTCGGATGATGTTTCAACGTCTTCTTCATTTCTACAGCCGACTTGATTCGAGTCGATTGTTTAGCCTCTACAGAGTCATTTTCAAGCAAGTTTTGAGTCGAAAACATAGCACTTACGTCTTCTTAGCCATCGTTCTACCTTCGTTATGAGATTGCCATGTGTCTTGTCCTGTGGTGTTGACTTCTCTAATCAGTTAGATTTTCATAGTTCTCACCAAATCCACGTCATTTTTCTTCACACTTCCTTTGCTGTCGCTTGGCATCGAAATTTTCGTTTCGGTGCAAAAGCAGCCGGGCAACTGTTTTTGTTGTTTTTACAACCCGTTTGACTAAATGAACTGTGTCAACATGAATTCTGTTTAGAATGACTGAGAATGTCATGGAAAACGTAGCGGAAAACGTTGACGATGAACGAGAAAACCAGTATAGGCCTCCTGAGAAGAAGACAATGGCTGAGATTCTGGATGCTGACCAGGTACTTCCTTATAATTACGGATAATTGAGATTAATAAAAAAAGAGATAAGTCTCTCGGGGTTGATCAATCCCTGAGGGATGCGTTTGGAGGTGATTGAATGCATATCTGGCCTTTACAATGACTTGCGGTGGCCTAGCGATGTATCGAACTAGTGTTGCTATCCTCCCAGACATGCTGGTAACAATTTGCTAACCCCGGAGGGATGGAAGGCTTGATGGTTCATAGGTGCGGGGATCGATTCCACGTGTGTGTCGCAGTGACACCTCCGACCACTGCACCACACCCGCCCTGCAACACACATAATTGAGATTACACAGCAATATGTTCATCTTTTACATCTAAGATTTCAATGGACTGATGGGATTCACCCAGGTTAACATTCACTGCGTTTAAATGGCCAACTTTCTGTGAGCCCCGGTACTGATATTAATATATATAATTTTTACGAACTGCCCTTGTTGAGCTGACGCGCGGTTGGTATCCATCCGTAGCTTTTGTTGTCGTGATCCGAAAGCTGATGTTTCGGCGGTTTCGCCTTCTTCAGAGCCTGGGCGTAATTTATAACCCATGTATTGTAGCACCGCTGAAGATCTGTTGTATAAATGAACGCTACTTTGTTCAAAAATTACTCACCGTTTTTTGGAGTGAACGGTATTTAATCAAAGTAGCGTTAATTTATACAGTAGATTTTCACAAATACTATGGGTGATTCACTGAATTATAAATTACGTCCAGGCTCTGAAGGAGGCGAAGTCGCCGAAACGTCAACCATCGAATCAGGATGGCCACAACTAGTACCAACCTCGCGTTAGGTCAATAAGGGTACTTCATTTTATTGCTAGTTCGGTTCGTGAGTTTGATGAGTGCGGGCACAGTGAGTTGGATGCCGAATGTTCTCAAGATTGACTTGAATGAAATACATGAAGCGTTTGTAAAGTAACCATTTTTTAAGTTGAATGTTTACACGATCAAGTTTTGGCAAACCACTTAGTTGTCAGAATACATGGACCCATGGAAAACCCGTCAAGTCCCAATGGAAATAAGTATGGGCGCGAAAATTTCGAGATGACGTATCGATTTAGTTTTGAAAAGAGTGGTCGATATTCGAGAATACCTTTAACATGGCTAGACAAAAATGCTAATTAATATTGCGACTGTAAAATGAGTGGTGAAGCAAGAGACGACTGAGAGCGTAACGCCCACAAATTCAGTGGGCATCGAATCACTCTGAATAAGTCTTCTTAATCATTTATCATCCTCCCCTAGTGAAAAGCTCTCTCTGGGTATCGAATTCCAGTGTTCAAGCAGAGGTATTGCTGCTCCTCTTCACCGTCCACACCGAGTTGTCCATACTTCGTACTGTCTTCAACAGCAATAGTCTGTTAACGCAAGACGATCTCGTCCAATGAGGGATTTTTTCTAAATTATTAGGTGTAGAAAGCAGCTTTTCATAGGTCACGTCTGCTACCATCACCACGTTCGAAGAGATATCGACAGAATACAAAATATATAACAAAAAAAGAAAAAACCCTGTAAATCTCTGTGAAACAGACTACGTACATTTCGCCATATGTGGTCGTTTTTGTGTTAAGCAGTGTTTTGTTCATCTGTGTTCTATAAGAATTTCTCTACGTCCGATGTTTTTCTACTACTTTTTAGAAATAAATAGTTGTTCTACTGATATCTTCATTAGTAACTTTTTCAGGATGATGAGAGTCTTGCAAAGTACAAAGCCACCTTGCTAGGCTCATCTCCAACCGATATCATCGTTGATGAGAACAATCCGAAAATTGTTATCGTCAAATCGATTACCTTATTAGTGGATGGTCGCGAAGACATCAGAATGGAACTCGATGACCGTGGTAAATCATTTTTTCTTCTTTTTTTTTGTCATTTTTGATTTTCTCGACTTTTTTGCATCTACAAAGTCGCACTTAAAAATCGTGCTGAAGTCAACACAAACGGACGAAATGTCACAGATCTGAATCGTGGATTGAACGTCGGAAAATCGATGCGCGTTCCAGGACGCATCACAGTAGAAATTCCATAGGCTGAAGGGAGGAGTGTGCGACACTGTCCAAACATTTCAGTAGTTTTTCTAATGTCAATGAAATACGACTTCAGTCGACAATATATTCACCACAATCATCCATCAGGTGTTCCCAGCGCACGCATAGGTGCTCTGCTTGTTTTGTTCATAAGGCTGTAGGACTATTGCGAAGCTATTTGAGTGCCGTCTTGTTGTCCGTCGAGGGTATAATTCATCAAGTGTGTATTGGAGTGTGGAAAAAACGAGACGATGGGCGAGTAAATCTCAGATAACATGTTGAAAGGGCATACCTCTTCAATCTTGTTCCGGTCATTAGTGTGATGCTGCCGGCTGGCACGAGTCCATAAAAGAATGTTTCTTTCAAGTTCCACCAATTGCAGAGAATAACTTCCATGCCGTGGGATTTCTCTTCCGATTTTTATCTATCTGGTGACAATTTTTCTGTTAAAAGCAGTCTGTTTTTGCGCTTACGAATATGAGTGATGAAGGGTACTGAATCTCATTGGTAGCAGTTTCCTTTCTGTGCAGGCGACGATGCAGAGATTCACAAACGCTGATACATCTCTGTCTGACAAGGTCGCTAAACTGCTTTGGACCAAAGAGACCTTTCAAAGTCACGAACATTCAAGTGGTTGTTAATGGTTATTTAGGGACATTCTCAGATGTTTTGTTGCAAACCCTCCCTCTTTATTCCTTCATGAGTTTTTGATTTTCAGATTTCATTCTGGTTTCCACCGTGTTTCTTCTCTTTTCTTTTCTTCTTGTTTTCGATGGACTTTCTTTTCAACATGATGCTAGTAGTTGGGTGCTTTTCTGCTTTCCTTTCACGCGTTAAATCATCATAATATTTACCACTAGTGAACTTTAAAGCTTAGATCACTTTGTGCATTTAGCGTGAACAAAAGGCCAATAAGGCCGTATCCTTTGGTAATTTTGTCTGACGTTTTTTTTTCGCAAGAAGGGAACCCGTTATGGTAACCTCAACACAAAAGTTTTAAGGTGCCGTCGAAGAGCGGACGTTTGTTTTAAAGGAGGGATGTCAATATAGGCTCCGATTCGAATTTTACGTTCAACGTGAGATTGTCACCGGTCTGAAGTGAGTGTTCTTGTTACAGTTTTTGTCCTTGTTACTCTAATTTACTTCTGATCTATTTTCTAAATGATGTTTTCTACATGAAAATATGTCATGAAAAGAAGGCTACGTGGTAAATCTATAGAAAATAGTTCCGTTTTTGTTGATCTGGTGTATTTATTTCCTAGAAAACCATCAAGCTGAAGGCAACTTTAGGTGGAGTTGTGTCGTTTGTAGGTATATTCATAAAGTATCTCGTCATGGAATACAAGTTCTGAAGGAAACGTTCATGGTCGGATCATATGGTCCGAAAAAAGAATTGCAGAGCTACACAACACCCATTGAGGAAGCACCATCAGGTTCGTTAAATTTCTAACTGTTCGGTCTTCTCTCCTTTGAAAGTGACGAAAGCCCAAACATGTTGTGCAGAAAGTGCAAAAATTTCTCATTTTAGTTTTTAAATAGTTTCTGAGGTACATATTTCTTAAGTAAACGATGAAGTTCCTTGCGACATGCATAGCAGAAACTACAATCTTCAACTTTTAATTACGGCCTATTATTTTCGCACGGCTGGGTATGGTTTGAAATGCAACCACTATAATGCTGAGATATGTGCTAAGCGTGAACTCCACGCCGGGTTCGAACCTTCAATTAACCTTTCTAGGTGCCCACATGTTACTCACTGCACTATTGAGGCTCTTGTTTTGCCTTTCTAGGTTAGGAAACTGATTGAGAGAAGGGTGAATCAAGGGCCTCAATTGTGCAGTGGGTGCCATGTGAGCCTCCGGAAAGGATAGTCGCTGGTTCAAGGATCCATTTTTGCAAATATCTCAGCATCATAGTGGTTGTAGGTCACTATAGTCTGTGGTAGCTAGGGTATTCGCATTTTACTAACTTTGTAGGTGGTGCATTTGGTTTCTGTACATAGTCTCATTTTTCCTCATTCATTCAATAGCATTCTTCCATTTCGGACCCTTTGTTTTTATGTCATAATTTTAGGCCTACTTCATCGTGGACGGTACAAAGTCAAGTCCCAAATGACGGACGATGATGATCATGACTGGTTAACGTGGACTTGGGTGACAGAAATTACCAAGGAATGGTAGTCAATATCACGACTTATTTGGGCAACGGAAATCCTTCACCAGTTTCTTCAAAGTTTGATGCCAGATGGAACGTTTTCCTCTTTTATTATAAAGCATTCCAATGTAACTTCAAGCCGTGTCTAACGTCGCCTGTATAGCCATGCCTCATAAATGCGTCTCTCTTCAACGCTGCTTAGTTCTTACTTTTTTCTCCTTTTTATCAGTTATCGTTCATATCAGACCGGCGCACTTCCTAACTTCCGAAATTATTGGTTGGGCATTTAAATTCTGATTCTCGCCGGAGGCTATGGTACGGCAGTTTGCAGACTTCGACTACTCTGGTAAAATATACAGGTGCTGTGTGTCGATCATTAATTATCTGACGTTGAATTTCGTGCTTTTATTCAACAAAGTGATATCGTTGATTTGCTGTTCCGTCGCGCTTCATTTTTCATTGAATATTTAATGATTCCTTCCTCGTATACGGTATGAAATTCTTGTGCGGTGAAAAGCCCGTTGCCGTTCGCTGTTCAAAACCGATTTATGTTCTCATCCCTGTTTATGTTTCCAGTCAGATCTATGCATTACGATAGCCAATAAGATTCTATTATTGCTATGTTGGTGAAATACCATAATCGGAAATGTGACCATCGTAGAAAGAATAGCAGCAGAATGTTCAAATCGAACGAAATTGAATAATAAATGAGACATTAATAATAAATATTAGACAATGCTAGAGCGTGGATATTGGTCATTGTGGTGCCACTCATTACACCCGGATTTCATTGTTCGATGACGCCCTGGGCGAACGAAACCTCCCGTCCATCCGACAATTGCTACACGACTTGTCTGGGAGGCTCCATCCGATCCACAGAGCCATGGAACGCTTTAGCATAAATGTCCTGAGATGGATGTTCGGGGCGGGAAATCCGACTCAACCATCGTTAAACGACATTGACAAAGCAAAGAAGAAGTTCTCAAGCAGTGAGCTAGCTCTCAAGAGAATTGGAAAACCTTAGTGGGTAATGGGGGCGAGAAAAAGAATGAAATGGAAGAACCGTTGGGATCCGTGCAATAGATGCTAATACAGGTTATGTGAAACAAAATAGGATTTTAGAAAGTATTATTATTATTGGTAGCAATACTGTAACGTCGTTGAAGGAACAGCAGCAGTCTGAAATCTTTATGGTGTACTCCGAACTAAATGTCGACTTCAAGGTTTTATGTTTATGGTGCATGTACACTACATAGGTGGACTACGTGTCCGGTTCGACTCAATCTATAGGAAATAAGCGTTACTATAAACACGATGACGCATCCATGTGAGCAAAAACTGCTCATTGTGATTCCCTTCTATGTCTCATTGTATACCACAGAAATGCCTTTGTTGATATGTCATTTCGTCGAATTCCAGCCATCTAAATGAGCTAAACTGGACGAGCAGTTTGTACCACATACCTAGAAACTGTGGAAGCATTTGGAAAAATTTCAAAAATGCAAGAATGAATCGCAAAGGGGAGGGTCTTGTGATCACGTCTGACCTCCTCTCATACCTCAGGCCGACTTTTTTTTGATCTGAGGCAGGCGTATCCAAAATATGGGCATAAGTGTTCGTGGCTAACGCCAACCATCTGCATTTGAACACTTTCAGGAATTCTGAATGTGTTCCGCGGACGTCACCGAGTTCGAAGCAGACTATCACCATGGGTGATGCTAGGGCGAGAGAGTAGCTGGTGGAAAATGTGCTAGGGCCTACATTACCAATGAAGATAGGCCATTCAAGCATTCAAATAAGTAATCCCTATAAGCGCATGTCACCCAATGGTTAGAGAACCGCTACAATATTCACGTGGTCTTTAGTTTGACCACACGTTTATGCTAATAAAATTCTCTACCCTCTGGGATCGGAAAGTCGGTATAAGAGTTATGTGCTAGGATAAAATCTCCGATCTGATACATCATTAAGCCAACAGATTTTAAAGTCGAAACGTACACTACGCCACTTCTATGACGCTTAATAGTGTCCAACACATGGAGAATCTTTTAGGCATTCCCTTTTTTTCTTGATGAGTAAACACGACGTTGTTACTAAAACGTTTATTAACACACAATAGCTAACGTTTCGACGGTTTAGCCTTCTTCAGAGCCTGGAATGGTCAAATTGACATGCAGTCTACTCAACCAAGCACTTTCATAGCCTCAGCAAACAAAACTTAATACATAAATTTTCATTCGCATAATAACCAGCTTCTTTTAAACACCCACTGTCTTGTTCGCTGTGAGTCTTCCAGTTATTTGATGGAGACCATCTGAAAAGGGCGAAAAACATGCCTGGCTATGGTCAAAAAAATCAGCCCCAGATATGGTGCGAGGCCGCGCGTGATCATGAGGTACTCTTTGTTGTGGTTCAATTTTCAGTTTCTGGAATTTATCCAAAAGGTTTCAAGAGTTTTACGCTCTGACATTCTGGGTTCCTGTGTGAGGATGACTTTTTCAATACCTTATTTGCTTGGATGGTCCGTCCTCAATAATTGTGCGAACCCCAGTACATTTCCCATTCGTTTCTTTCCCTCCCAGTCGTCGTCCACGGTGGTGCTCTTGTTCGAGCATGGTAAAGGTTCGACTCTCATATCGTGATCTGCAAAATAACTACAGCTGTTAGTACAGCTGATTAACTTTGTTTATGAACACGTCCGCCCAACGTGTGGGTGGTCGTGCTGAGGGACGTTTGCATTCTCTTGGAGACCACTCTTCAGTTCTTTTCGCCCATCTGTCGTCTGTTCTTTTTTTGACCGGCCCATCTATGTTTTGCTATTGATGTATACTCTCCTGGATCTCAAAGATGTGACAGATTTCGAAGATCAGAGTTTTTCATTTCGGCTTGATATTGAGAGTGCCAGCTATATTTCAGAAGACATCGCTCGAGCTCTCTATGTGTAGTGCGGAGTATTATTGACGTGGTAGAAGTATCATGTCACGTTGTTGCAACATAACAGAGTGCTGGGAGGGCCGTTGAATAGAAAAGATGAGCGCGGATTTTCGAGTCCTGTAACTCGTCAGTGGCTTTTTCCAGAGACCCGAATCCGATCCAAGCTGCTCTCCTTCTTCTGTCCAGTTCCTCCTTCATGTTATTTTCCATGTTCCTTGATCGCCCAAGGTATAAGTACGAGGTGGTCCCTGCAATCAGGGTGCGGGTGCGGGTGAGGGTGCAATCCAGTCCAATTTTTTTGCCTTTGCACCAAGGGTTTTTTTGTCACCACGCACCAAAACCCACGGTACTTCAATACCTTCTCCGTTATATTTAAGTATTACATGCGCGCCTTGTGGAGTACTTGGTTTCAATTTAAATTTACCGACTAGGTGTTCTACATGGACGCAGTGTGGTCTGCCCCCTTTTCCAGCGTATTCCTTCTCAGATGCTTTTGCAAGAGATCAGTTAAACCGCACGCAAACTCATGCAATCACCGTCTCTACCGCTATGGCATGTTATGTTGCAATTCTGCTTTGTGCGTACACGGTCACATAGGCGGTTGCGTTCTAACCAGCGTCTTAGAGTGTCCGGTGGTATTTCAACCATTGTTGCCAAGTTCTCTAGAACGACCTTCCTTAAGCAACTTTTTATAGGTGCACTTATTTCGCTGGAAATGAAAAGCAGGATAAGCGGGATCTTCTTTTGGATAGAATTATCGTTTAAGGGCGTGGTTTTTCCTCTACACCTATCTCGAGCAGCTAGAATTTCGTAGCCGTTCGAAATAGCCACTACTATTTGCCGTTCAAATTTCAGCGATTCTTCCTTTTTTTCTTATCCTGTGGACAAAGTGGTGGCTGCTCGAAACATGTTTCTTAAAAGCTGCCTGTTTTGTGTGAGGAGTGAGAGAAAAGGTAATGAACCATTTTGTTTTTATTTTTTATTATTTTATTATTATAATTTATTATTTGTTATTTTATTATTGATTTTCGCTACCACTTTGTGATGCATCCTTTTTCGGACTGGTTAATTCAAATGTTTAGAAACGGAGGCCAGTTTTCTTTCGGTTTATCTGTAGTGAATTATATGTATTCTGAGTGCTCATTCAATAACACAAAAGATTTGTCCATTTTCTTTTTTAGAAAGTAAATGACAAAACAATCATCTATATAACTGTAGTGGAGTAATGGCCCGAGATCCGTTACTGGTGCTTCCACCTTAGACATGAAGGCAATGCTAATGTTTGTTGCCATTCGATGTCCCATTGCCGACCTTCCAATTTGTGCTTAATGGTTAAAACTAACGACGTGTTTCCTCATCAAGAAAGGTACTGAATTATTGATCAATGACGAGGTTAAAAGAAAGTCCATCTTAGTCAAAAGACCGACTTTCTATAAACCTCGGCATAGATAATTGATAAATTTATTTGTATGCTCTTATAAACTGATCTTCTTTATTTCGAAACCGACCTTCCCTAAACCTCGGTGTGACTAATCAATATGTATTCTTTCTTTTTTTTTCTTAAAAAAAAAGATAAATTAGTTACTAAGTGTACATAAAGAAAAAAAAACTTCATGGAAGAGTTTGAAAATGAGAAGAGAGCAGTATGAATCGCTTCAAAACCCTGGCAAGGCCGTCTAACCCTAAGCTTCATTTCGAAACCGACCTTCCCTAAACCTCGGTGTGACTAATCAATATGTATTCTTTCTTGATAAGCTTGCACGAGGTTGATAAATATATTTATTTGGTAGGCGTGGTATGCGAAAGGTACGAGAACTGATAAAATCGAAAACCATAAGACTATCGGTTAGTGATAAGGGTGAAGAATTTGTCGTAATTCCCCATCAAATAGATGTTGAGATAACGAAGATGCTTCATTCGAGAAGATGGCTCGCTGAGGACGATCTGGCCCGATAGGAAGGCGAAGACGCAACGTCGAGGCGAACAACAAGCATGGACCATCGACTCGGATCACCGGCTCTGAGGAAGACGAAGACGTCGAAACGTTAGCCGAAAATAAATATATTTATCAACCTCGTGCAAGCTTATCAAG